AAACGGAGAACTTGCAATGATCAGAAGAACAGCCACCTCTTCAGCCCCCTAGGGCTGCCAGAAAAAAAACAATAGCTGCAATAATCAGAAGGAGAGCTACCTCTTCAGCCCCATAGAGCAGCCAGGAAAAAAACATCTCTACTAGTAACTCATCCCCCTCTATCATATTCACTAAGCAACTCGTCTCTCTATCATATCTTAAAAAACAACTCCACCCCCCTTCCATACCYCTGCAGATCCACCAATGGCCACCATTACTCCCCCCCCCCTCCATACCACTGCAGATCCACCAATGCCAGGTTCGAAGGGGGAAAAGGGTCCGGAAATGATTCTGGAGGTCTTAATATTGCACCTGGCTGGACATCAAACCAGTTATGGAATATAATCTTACAGTCCCTATTGATGCTTTCCCCATCCTCCTCCCCTCCTGGCCATTCCACCTTTCCCAGTTTCCCCCTTGGAGAATCACCCAGCCAGTCCTTAGTGAAATTCATTATTTTCTTCTTTATATCCTGTTTTTGTTGCAACCTCTTGATTTCTTCTTTAGTTCTTTCCCATTGGTATCTCACCTCWGTTTCCASCAKTTGCTGCACTAGTTCYGACATTTCTCTGCCATCAATCTTAACCTTTTCCATTGTGAAAACACRTCTTCTATACCATAACACCCATAGCATTGATTTCCTACCTATGCTATACAGGTTCTGCTGAAAATTCGATAATGGAGTGAGAACCGGGTACCAATGTCCCAAGAGAATCGCCCTCCAGTCCCATGGCCAATCTATACCCGTTAGTCTATTCCAGACATAGTCCCATCGTCTCCCCAACAGTTTTGCCCCTTGACATTGCAAAAAAATGTGCTCAATTGTTTCCCTTATCTTTCTGCTGGGAAACGCCTCCACACACATGTCACACCATGGCAGAGCTACCCCCCTCTATTCCAAAGTGGAATGATCAATCAACCAGTCGTTTGTTGGAAGACATCTACATACAATCTGCCACTGTAGTGAGGCAAACTTAGCCGGTCTTTCCTTGAAACCCTGACACCACTTGATTGGACTAAGCAAATCCACATAAATATTCAGATGTCTGGCCCATCGCTCCCGTAAGACCGCCATAACATCTACTCTGGGACGTAACAATCGATACGAAGCCTTGACTGATAGAGATTGCAGCTTCTGCGCCTTGCATCTTCTATTGGCACGCCAGGTCCATTCCGCAGGATCCAAAAGAAGATCAGGTATAGGAATATTTGGGCAAAAAACTTTCCATGTGTTGGGAGTCTTACTATACAAAGCCCTTACTCTATATAAGGATTCAAAATTAAAGAACATTACTTTGTCCTGATTGTGTTGTGCCAATGTGTAATCTTTATGAAGGGCAAAGAGATTTATTAAGGCCCCATCTATATGAGTTTCTAAAATCTGTCCTAATACCCTGGAACCATCCGTCTGATACGCACATACCCAGTCACCGTCCTCAAAGACTGGCCCCTTTTTCAGTGTGACTAACCAAGCCAAAGGGATGGATGAAATGATGATCTCAAGATTCTCTTCTAAATTATGTGCATACCTAATTTCCTTTCTTAGTTGTTCCACCGATTTCCAACTCTTGTTTTCTGAATTCCATAAGTTTTTGATCCTAATTATACCATGTTTAACCCAGATGGACCACGGGGATGTAGAGCTTATGTACACCCTACCCTGTGCATATGAGATCCACTTGTTTCCAAAAATTGGTTGTCTAACTACTTCCTCGTACCTTGAAGGGGTTGATCTATTAGGTATGGGTAATTTTCGCCATATTTTCAATAAGTTCACCCAAAAACCGTCTAACACCAGATCCTTCCGAACCTCTCCCTTCTCTCCCTCTTTTAAAGAGTGCGCCTTAGGTCGGGGGATAGCCCAATACCTATCCTCTACCCAAGTTAGAGGATTTACATTATTTGTGGTTTGTGGAGCCAATCTGCGTATTTGTTCCAAAGCCAAGGATTGCCAAGGGAAATCTGTAGCAAAAATTAAACGTATAATCCATTGAAGAGCCAATGCTTGGCATTGAATCATTGGATCCAAAATGCCTAAACCCCCTTTGTCTTTAGGTTGTATGAGAACTTGCCATGCTACTCTGGGGATTACAAGAGATGTCTCGTGGTTACCTCACCATAAGAAGGCCGTGAGCTGTCTCCTGAGATCTTTAACTGGGTTCCTGTTCAGTGCCCATAAGGCAGACTTGTACCAAATTGACCCAAGGATTACATTGTTAATAACCAAAGCTCTGCCAAAAAGAGAAGTATGTAAATTTTTTCATTGCTTCATTTTTTGTGACGCTTTAGAAGTTATCCATACATCATTAGAAATTGGTTTCCCTTTTGCTGTGAGCACCACCCCCAATATTCTGATAGGTGCCTCTAATGCCATCCACTTCACCTTAGGAATCTCAGGCGGTCTATCTCCTTGAGAATGAATCCACCAACCTTGGGTTTTACTTCCCCGATTAACTTCCATATCCGATAGAAGGGAGAATTATCCATCAATGCTTTTATTTCCTCCATGTTTTTCTGCGATGCCTCCATCATTATGGTTAGATCATCGACAAACATAGAGCAGATTGGTATAACTTCCTCTGGAATTCCTGAAATCTGAAGCCTTTTAATGTTCTTATTTACTCTCAGGTTTGCTCCTAATGCTTCCATTATAATTACAAAAGGAAAAGGGGCTAAAGGATCTCCTTGCCTTACTGATCTTTTGAGATGTATTTCTGGTGAAAGTAGACCATTGACCTGGACCCTTGTGGTGGCATTCGAATGCAGTATAGTAATCCATTTACAAATTATTGGACCAAACTTCATTTTTTCCAGACATGCATCCAAAAACCTCCAATCCACATGATCATATGCTTTCTCAAAATCTATGAAAACAAATGCTGCATTCTGATAATTTTGACGGGATAATTTAATCATCTCATTAACGAGTAGGATATTATATTGTATATTCCTATCCTTAATGAACCCTGTTTGTGAAGGGTGAATAATATCTGGCATTAATGGGATGAACCTGTTAGCAATAGCTTTGACTAGCATCTTGTATACGACAGTAAGTAAGGTGATTGGCCTATAGTTCCTTGTATTTGTCTTATCCCCTTTTTTGTGTAATAGGGTAAGTATCCCTTGTCCAACTATTTCTCCCATGCATCTTGATTCCTGGACCTGTCTATAAAATTCCATTAGGTCATCCGAAAAGTGCGACCACATTGTGTCCCAAAATTATTTCTAGGGAAACCATCGAAACCCGGGGTTTTATCCTCCTCCATTTGTAACAACGCCGTTCAGATTTCCTCCTTGGTGATGGGTTCCTCCAGTCTTGCCCTTTGTTGTTGAGTTATTTCTTGTGTCATAGGGGCAAAAAAATCTTGAATATTCAAATTAAATACCTCTGTATCTACCCTTGACACGAAGAGATTTAAAAAAAAATCATATGCCACTTTCAAACTACTAGCTGAGGTGAAAGGTTCCTGTGTCGGTCTTTGTAACAGATCCATTAGTCCTTCGATAGATGTACGTCTAGCTCTGACTCGAGTCATAGAGAAAAAGGATGAGTCCATTTGTCCTTCAGTCAAATGCTTAAATAATTTTCCTCTGATCATATATCCTTGCCAACGATGTTGGGCAAAAGTGAGTAATTGATTCTTGAGTTCTAGAATGTCTACTGGTTGCGATAGTTGTTCTGGAATGTCCTGTTGTTCGTAATGAAGAATTTGTTTTTGAATCAACATTTCCTGATTGTATCTTTCCTTGGCCATTAACTTAGAATATTCATTGCACTTTTTAGCCAAGAATACTAGTCCATTATTAAACCATGCTATATATGAGTCATGTTTATCCTTAGTAGAATGTCAAAATTGCCACACATCCTGTATGTAGCTTCTAAAATCCCTACGCTTGAGGAGAGATGAGTTGAGTTTGTAGAAGCCCCTACCCTGATCTGGTTTCTTTCTAAATGACAGTAGTGTTGCACACATTTTGTGGTCCATTCCTGGCCATGGACTTTGCGGAAAAATATTTACTCCCATCAATGCGTATTCTAAATCCTCCGACATAAGAATCAGATCTATCCTTGATCTTGACTGGTAAGGGGAACCTATATTTCATATGCACGTATAAGATCGTTCTTGAGGGCATAACCTTCTATAGGTATCGAATAAATTTTCTGATTCACTTAGGTGTTGGATAATTTGTTCATCTTCCTCTATATATGTAGGGCATGGATCCGAAATTTTCCATCTATCTAACCATCGATCCGGTGCCGCATTAAAGTCACCTGCCATGATAATAGGTACCCCTCTAGGGATATGGTTCCTAATTTCCTGAAAAAATTCTCGACGCTCTTGTGCAGTGTTAGGACGATAAATGTTAATTACACAAATTAACTCTATTTTCAGCATTACCAACGTGACTAGCCATCTACCCTGCTCTTGGTCAGCTTTAGAGTACACTATTTCTATCCTTGAATCTGGTGGCACCCAAATAGCAACCCCCGCCGATCCATTGGCCGTGGAAAAGGCTTGATATCTTTGATAGGGCCATACTAGATTGTGTGCTCTATTATGCTTAGGAGTGTTCATAAGGTGAGTTTCCTGATACAAATTAAATCAGGCCAAGATCTCTCCCATACTCATTTCAATTGCTCCATAATTGCCCTTCTTTTCACAGCATCAGCTGTAGCTAGACCATTTACATTAAGAGACCTAAGATCCAAATCTGGTTTTTGAGAAGCACGCAACCAAGCTGGATTTTTACCATAGAAAGCCTGCAGTGCATCCATCTTGAATCCTCAAGGTCCCTACCCTACCAATATATTTTTATAATCGTACCCAGTTACCCCCCTCCAAACTAGATGAGGTTGTCAATAGACCATTTCGTAAAATGGAACATAGAAAAGCGGATACTTCCCCTACTGACCATACTGCGTTTGCCTTAACTTTTAAATATTGAAGTTCCAGCAATGTTGTATGGGAAAACCAACGAAGACCCGATTCTTTGTTTTCCTCAAACTTCACATAAGTATCCCTTTTGGTCATTTTTGCCTGTTCCCCAATTTCCGTAAGTGTAGCCTGTGGACCTGGATCAAAATACTTAACCAAAAATTCATGCAGATCCCTTTTGAAAGTACGGTCGTTCGAGTTCTGGATATCTACATATGTAGTCCAGCCTCTTAGAGTAACCCCCCCATATTGTTCCTGACCTATGGGGGAAAGACCTATTTCCCATTTCTCACTCTTTTTCCTAACTGGTATGACCAGATTCCTCCTATGGGACTGAGACCTAGCAACTTGCCCTTTTTCCAACACATGTCTCAACTTTTGTCTCTTACCTGGATCCTGCACTTTTTTTTCTTTCCTTAAAACTTCCTGAGAAAGGGACGATTCCTCTTGAGAGGGAGCTATGTTAGCCATTCCATTCTCCTCGTAGCCTTCTTCTGTCCCCAGATCCTCCACCCTTACTTCCTTCCCTTCCTCAAGTAATGTTCCCCTTGTTGCAATAACATTAATCTGATTTTGTTCCCCTTCCCCTACCTCTTCCTTTCCTCCTCCTTCCTTCTTCCCACCTTCCCCCATCGATGCACTCTCCTCTTCTGTAGGTTCCCCTTCCTTTGGAGAAGAAGGAGGTTGGAACAAACTGGTTACAATATTTAGAATTCTCAGGCTTGCCTTTGACCATAGAATACCCTCAGGCAGCCCCTGCTGTAATACTATTTTCAAATTGTGACTGCTGGTTAATATATTTACCAACTGCACATAAGAATTATCCCAAAATTCCATTGTGGCCTCTCCAAAACGCTTCTTTAAATTATGCAACACCCACTCAGCTAACTGTTTTATCTTTTGATCCTCCGAGATGTCAGGCTGAGGTTGAGGAGATGCATCTTCCATCTCAAAATCTCCCGTTGAAGAGTCCACATCCATTGGTTCAGGACCAAAAGCCTTTTGAAGAGGATCAGAGGATACTATTTCCGTTTCGTCCCCGACTGCCATAGATACCTTCTCCTCCTCCACTTGCAGATCCTCTGTCTGTTCTCCTACTTTCACTTCCCCATCAGATGATCCATGCTCAGGTTGTATTGACTCAACTTGGGCCTCCTTCATAGGGGAATCCTTGTCATTGATGAGAACTACTTCCTTATGTGGACTGGATAACTGCTTTATTTTTCTTTTTCTTCCTTTCTTTTTTAACTGAACTTGTCCTTCCTCTGATATCTCATCTTCTCTCCCCTTTTCCTCGTTTTCAGAATCAGAATCTTCCCCACTGAGGTGCCCTGCATTCTCTTCCTTTTCCTTTATCTGCAAATATTCAGCCGGCTGCGGTCCCGGGAGAACTACCACTTTGTTATGGTTGACCGGAACCCACTGTTGATGACTTGTTACACTTTTACCCCTCTACCTCTGCCCAGGAGCCCCTTTCCCCACCATCTGGTTCTCCTGGACTTCAGACGTAGATGTCTGTGTGCTATCTGACTGTATCGACTGTGCATGGTGGATGGTCTTTGTTGACTGCGTGACCACCGTATTTGCCTTAATCGTAACTTCAGGGGGAACCCAAGTGTCAGGGGGTTTGGTATCCCAATTGGGATCTCCCTCCCGTTGTAGCCTGCCCAGGTTCCACCAAGGGTGTGCACACAAAATCTAGGATGAGTAAAACCAATCGAGAAACGAAAGGAGAAAGAGCAGGCTAGTACGTCAGAAAATAAGATTGAGGAAGTACCACTCCCAGTCACATCAAACTTAAAGGAGTTTGCAGATTTTGAGGACGCACCTACCGTCTTCACCCGAATAGAACGCCCGGTCATTATAGCCGTATTTGGGTGTTCTATTCGGGTGAAGATGGTAGTGGAGTAGTTGAAAGAGATCGTAAAAAACATATAGAGAATGACCCATCGTTACCCTGGACCCGGACCCAGACTGATGCATGCCTACCATCAGATAGGGGCACTGCACAGACTCCAAAGGCCACCAATGTGAAGAAAGAATCAAAGACTAGCAATGCGATCAGCAAAGAAGAACCCGCGGAAATTATCTCCATGCATAAGTTCAAAAACTCAGACAATATCTGGGAAAACCCTGGCAAACCGAAGTATATGATTACGAGGCTATTCTCTTCCTTCGGCCCAAGGAACAGAAAATTGCCACGTTAGTTGGAACCATTTATCGAATCCACGCGAACACTAGTTCAGAGGATTTATTACCCCTCGCCATCATAACCTTTCACCGGGAGCAGAAGGGTGCGGGGTTCCCAAGCCTTATGATTTTCAATGCCCTGAGAAAGGTGGCCAAAAGAATAGGGGGATGCTGGCCACAGATGGTTCAAAACATCGCCAAGTGCTATGAGGGATGGATCTGACCTGCTCGAACGACACTCATCCACCTGGTCAGGAGAATTTTGTCACTGCTATGACAATACAGGCCGAATGCTCGAGGGTCGCCTTGTTTCGGCGGGAACGAATCCAGACGATCTCCTGGGGATGATAATTTTTTCTCTAATAAGTTGGACGCTACACCTGCATCACTGGCGTGACGGGACCTAAAACCCAGATATCGACCGGAGTGTGACGTAGTATGGACCCTCCTCTTGTTTTGTCGGATTCATCGGACTTGGACGGTATTCTTGTTTCTCGGCGCAGACACAGCGTGCCGAATCTTGTCCTTTTGGTATCGTGTGTCTTTTTCGCTTAGATTTTCGAGGACCCGGGACGAGGTCCTGCCCATCGCGGTCATATCGAGACTTAGCATATTAATTTATTAAATATGTAAGAGTTTTTTCGAGTTTCTTCGGATTTTAAAATTTTTGCGAATTTCGTGTTTTAGGTGGGACACTGTCCAGGGACTTGGTACTCTGGACCAGCCCCGAAGGGACAGGATGAAAGTTTTTTGGGTATTTAAAGGTAGTGAGCGTGCGCTCACACAAAGACTGAGCAGCATGAAGTAGAAGGTCTGGAGTATGGAGTGATCCATGCGCTGTGCTGACGATGTAGTATGTTGTGGGATGTAATCTTCAACTACAGTGTCTTTATAAGTTTTTCAAATCTATTGACGATCCGAGCGAACGACCTAGCAGTTGCGCATGGGCACGCTCGTTTGGCGCCGTGCTTCTCTTGTATCTCTCTGGTAATTGTGCTGAGCTATGCTTCCGGGATGAGCGCATTTGTGCTGATTTCTCACGTCGCGACGCTTAGAGCCTACCTAGAGTCTGGTTGCACGCGCACTTATCATACTTTTCCTGAGTGTCATTATCATTATTATTATCATTCGCATTCTCATTCCTTTTCATATCATCATTATAACTTCATCACACCATTGGTATATTCCTCGCTAGCTACTTTCCCATCCGATTTCTCGTGTGGACCTCATATCCCGTCCTAGTGCTCAGATTACACCGAGCTTCCCTCCGTGAGTTTGTTGTTCCTGTGTGTTTGTATTTGTGCAGGTTATCAAGGGCGACTCAAGCGGCTTCGACTGACTGCATGTACGGACAAGGGAGAGGACGTGGACGTGGGAGGGGAAGGTGGTCTGGATGTAGGCGTTATTGAATGGATTACCCTGCCAATACACCGCCCGCTACGCTGCCGGCGCAACACCAGACCCCACCCCCCGTCGTGCAAGCCGCTCTACCAGGATACACCTATCCTCCGTATGGGTGGGCGCAGCCAGCTGTGATGCCAGCTCTATTGCCGCCCCCACCAATGCTGCCCGCGTCTGCGCCACCTTAGAACTGGCCTGCATATTAGCAGCAGCAACAGAAGACCCCGACGGCTAATCCTTTTCCTGGACCAGGGAACCGTTGTCGGGACTGGTGGGTCCCGAATAACTTCCCAGCACTCGAGAGATTGAATACGGACAATTTGTGCACAACAGAGAAATCTGGAGTGAGGAAGTAGGAGAGAGAAAAAACAAAGGATTAGGCCGCAGAAGGGAGTGATGCCCTGAGGAGAGAACCACAGGAGGAAAGAACTAGCGGCGGCAAGCAAGCGAGCGAAAGAACAAGGGCACATAGAACATAGCAGGAGGTCGAGAGGGTCATCGGAATGCAATAAGACTAAGGCCAAAGGACCCTTTGAACTAACAATTGCAGCGCGACAGCAATAAATGAATGAGGAAGTCGAGGAATGGGCGGCCAGAAGCCGCGGGAAGCCAGGAAATGAGGGTCCAACGTGGGGGCCACCTATGGGAGCCTCGGAGCGGAGGCCCGCGACCAAAGAGATCGGCACGCACAAGGCGCGAGGAAAGACTAAGGAAAGGGGTTGCTATGGGGCGACAAGACACCCAAAGGGCATGGGACACCTCGAGGAAAGGCACCCGGGGCCACGTGGGACTAAGTAAAAATAATGGCGTCCAGGGCGAAATGTGTCGGGGACCGACAACGGGACTAAGTGTCGGGGACCACCGGCGGGACTAAGTGTCGGGGACCACCGGCGGCACTAAGTGTCGGGGACCACCGACGGGACAAGTGGCGGGGACATGTGAAAGTCCCAAGAAGAAACGGCGGCACCTCATGAGGGGAAAATAATAAATGCAAGGTGCACCGTCAAGATCGACATCTTGACGGCTAAGAATATTAGCACCACTAGTGCAAGTACTAGTGGTGACAAACGGGAAGGCCAAAAGGAAAAGGAAAAGTAAAGAAAACTGAAGTGGGAGGCATGAGAGCAATCCAAAAAATCTCGGATCAGCCTCCCTCAAGAAAATAGAGTCAAATGAGACCCTATGTGAAAAATAGCCCTCCGGGAGAAAATCGGAGTAGGAGGGACCATTGTGGGAGAAATGTAGGAGTAAATGGAGGCTCCCATGGGCATGGGAAGGCCATTATTGCAGTCCGAGAAATAACGGACTGCAGCTTGGGCATAAGGAGGGCCAAAACTAAGAGGAAGAGGCTAGAAAAGGGCCTTAACGGCCACTT